TACTCTTCGCTGTGGTGCGTGGGCTTCTCATTGCGGTGGCTTCTCTTGTTGCAGAGCGTGGGTTCTAGGCACGTGGGCTTCAGTAGTTCTGGCACGCAGGCTCAGTAGTTGTGGCTCGCAGGCTCTAGAGTGCAGGCTCAGTAGTTGTGGCGCACGGGCTTAGTGGGAACATACAGTATTTCTCTGTGTCAGACTTATTTCACTTAGCACAATGCCCTCATGGTCCATGCTGTCACAAAAGGCAGGATCTCCTTCTTTTTATGGTTGAATTATATAAATATTCCACATTTTCTTTATCCATTTGTCTTTTAATGGATACTTAGGTTGTTTCCATATCTTTCTATCTATTGTGAATAATGCTGCAATGAACATGAGTTGCAGATATCTCTTCAAGACAGTGGTTTCATTTCCTTTGGAGTTATACTCAGAAATGGAATTGTTGGATAATATTATATATTAGTTCTACTTTTAATTTTTTGAGGAAACTCCCTAGTATTTTCCATAATGGTTGTACCAGTTCACATTCCCATCAACAGTGCACAAGGATTCCCTTTTCTCCACATCTTTACCAACTCTTGTTATCACTTGTCTTTTTGATAGCCATTCTAACCGGTGTGACCCATAATGGTTCTTTAATGAATAATTTGACTGCGTCCACAATAGGTTGTAATCGGCCATATGGTCCAATGATGTTTGGTCCTTTTCAAAGTTGTATATAACCTAGTACTTTTTGTTCAATTAATGTAAGGAATGCTACGGCTAGAAGAATTGCAACGAGTATTAAGATATTAATTATAAACATTGTGTTAGGGAGAGGAGTGGAACCTCTGATTATAAGGGTTTAAGTTTTATGAAGTTACCGGGCTCTGTCACCCTAACAAACCCTTTTCTTGAGTAATTAGGAATTAATTAAGATTATATAATTTTTTTTGGGGGGGGGGGCTGCACCACACGGCATGTGGGATCTTAGTTCCCAAACCAGGGATCAAACCCACGCCCCCTGCATTGGAAGCACAGTGTTAACCACTGGACCACCAGGGAAGTCCCTATATCATTTATTATTTTAAGGCATTTTTATAAAGTAGGCTTTATTTCTCTTGCCCTTTCAAACTGGGAAAAATATAGGGTAGATAGAAACCGACCTGGATGACTCCTGTCTGAACTGGGATCAAGTAGGACTTTAATCGTTGAACAAACAAATCTTTAATAGCGGTTACACAATTGGGGTGTCCTGATCCAGCATCGAGGTTGTAAACTCTGTTGTCGATATGAACTCTAGAATAGGGTTGTGCTGTTAGCCCTAGGGTTACTTGTTCTATTGATCAATTTTTTTGGATCAATAAATGATCAATTATTTTGACTAGCAAGTCTAGATTTTAATCACTCGGAGGTTGTTTTGTTCTCTGAGGTCACCTGGACCAAAATTGTTAACCCACATGAAATTTTTGTTGTCCCTTAATCGTTTATATTTTGCGTTAATTAATTAAAGCTCCATAGGCTCGTCTCATCTTATTTTGTCATTGCCACCTCTTCATGGGAAGGTCAATTTCACTGATCGAAAGTAAGTGACAATAAAACCCTCGTGTGGCCATTCATACAAGTCCTCATTTAGACAACAAATGGTGATGTTACCTTTGCATGGTCAGGATACCTCGGTCGTTTAACAGATGTCACTGGGCAGGCAGTGCCCCTAATACTTCTTACGCTAGAGGTGATGTTTTTGATAAATAGGTGGGGTTTGTGTTTGCAGAGTTCCTTTTACTTTTTTAAAATCTTCCTTAGGTGCATAACTGTATAAAGGTTAACAGTATATTTGACAAATAGTTTATCGTTGGTTTTATTTACTGTTAATTATCAGTATAGCATTGGTCACTGATGTAAGCTTATGCAAGGAGAAATATTTCTTGTTACTCATTAACATTACTGCTTCTATTAATAAGTCCAGTATTAAACTAGGAGTTAATTTGTTGTTGGTATTAAGATAATTATTTTGTTGGTAATTCCATGGCAGTCCAGTGGTTAGGACTCTGCGCTTCCACTGCAAGGGGGCACGGGTTCAATCCCTGGTCGGGGAACTAAGATCCTGCAAGCCACATGGTGTGGCCAAAAAACAAAACAAAAAAAAAAGAGAGAAGATAATTATATTGTTGAGCTTGAATGCCTTCTTAATTGGTGGCTGCTTTTAAGCCAACTATGGTATTGTTTATATTTACTCTCTAGATAAGGTTGTATCCTGTTTCTAAAAAGCTGTACCTTTTTAGATGAACATTTAGAAATACATTAAAATTTATAGTTTTTTTTGGTAATTTTTAAAGTTGAACTAAGTTTCTGGACAACCAGCTATCACCAGGCTCATTAGGCTTATCACCTCTACTTATAAATCTTCTCACTATTTTGCCACATAGGTGAGTTTATGCTGGTAGCTTGTCTGGCTTTGGGATATTTGACTTAAATTCTCTTTGTTAAATACTTACTAGTTAAATCACTATGCAGAAGGTAAAAGGGATAAACTTTGCTTTTTATTACTTTTAATATTTCTTTCATCATTACCTTATGGTACTTTATAATGTCAAAAAATTTTGGGGGACTTCCCTGGTACTGCAGTGGTTAAGAATCTGCGTGGCAATGCAGGGGACATGGGTTTGAGCCCTGGTCTGGGAAGATTCCACATGCCGCAGAGCAACTAAGGCCGTGCACCACAACTACTGAGCCTGTGCTCTAGAGCCCACGAGCCACAACTGCTGAGCCTGTGTGCCACAACTACTGAAACCTGAGTGCCTAGAGCCCGTGCTCTGCAATGAGAAGCCACCGTAATGAGAAGCCTGCACACCACAACGAAGAGTAGCCCCTGCTCACCGCAACTAGAGAAAGCCTGCGCACAGCAACAAAGACCCAATGCAGCCAAAAATAATAAATAAAACTTTAAAAATACTACTGACTAAAAAAAGCAAACTATACCACGCTGTACATTGTTTATGGATACATCTATATATATGTCAGACAAGAAAAACAGGAAAGATATCCACCAAATTCAAGACAGTGTTTACCTTTGGAAAAGGAAAGAGAATAAGATTAGAGGTGGTGGTACTTTAAAAGTATAACTTCATTTCCTCTTTAAACAAGGGCCCTTAAAGCAAATACGGCAAAATGTTATGATCCACTAAAGCTGGGTGGTATCTACAACAAGCATTATCCTCTGTACTTCCAGTGCTTGACATACTTCAAAAATTTTTAAAGTAGCTAAATGCAAAGATATCAGGGAACGAACAATACTTCCCACTTTTGTTAAACCAATTTTCTATGGTAGACATTATTTGTAGAATTATAATTTAGTGTAAGAAATAAAACAAGTTTTTCTATTTTAAATTGTTTTGGGGTAGTCAGGCCTATAGAAATTTCTTGCTTTTAATTTTAATTGAAGTACGGTTGACTTACAATGTTGTAGGAATTTCTTAAACTGGAAATTTTATTTCTCCTAGCTAGGTCACAATCCTTTACATGCTTATGACAGACACTGTTGATCCCTAACCCATGACGCTTTCTCTTGCTAACAGAACCAATTTTGTTCAGGTATCAGAAGGCTATAGGCTTCAAAGGATATTCACAACCTAAGGGGAGGAATCTTGATTACTTTAAGCCAATCACAGCAATTCTAGTCTCCATGTTAAAATTGATCTGGAAACAGGCATTTAATATCTCCTAGTAAGATAAGTAGGTGAAGTCCACCAAGGGGCTTCTGTGGAAAAGGAACACCTTGAAAGGACATGGAAGAATCAACCACCTCTTCTGGCCTTTGGACATCGTGGTACAAGCAGATGATGCCTAGAGATGTTGCCACCATCTTGCGAAACCATAAAGGGTCAATCCAGAAGACAGAAACTCTCACAGCACAAGGTGGATGGGCAAGGACTTCCCTGGTGGCCCAGGGGAAAGACTCTGTGCTGCCAATGCAGGGGGCCTGGGTTTGATCCCCAGTCGGGGAACTAGATCCCACATGCATGCCACAACTACGACCCAGCATGGCCGAAATAAATAATAAATTAAAAAAAAAAAAAAAAAAAAAAGGTGGATGGGCAGAAAAACATGGAAAGAGCCTGGGTCCCTGGTGAGCCACTGAATTTACCAGTTGTGGAACTGCCCTACCCAGATTTCTTGTGAAATAAATTTTCCTTACTGTTTAAGACCCACTTACTTAATTAGGTTTCTGCTCCTTGCAGTTGACTGCACATTGATAAAATCACGCTCTTTATCAAAACAAAACACAAAACTCTGAAGAATGTACAAATTCCAGTGAGTTCCTGACGACTATAAAGACCTTGTTATTCTGTACGTCTGGAGGCAGGAATTTTGCAAACTACACAAATAGTTGTAGCTTTACCAGAACCACCACCTCAGTTTTGCTTCACACTTTCCCAATCATTGAACAGCTTGAGAGAGAATGTACCTATTTTGTTTTTAGGCTTGTTGGCCACACTGAGAAATGTGATCGAGTCCAAATTTGCTTCTTTGGGAGTATTTAAAGGCATATTTAGTCCATAACATTCCTTTGTAACTCTTTTTTTTTTGCGGTACGTGGGCCTCTCCCTGTTGTGGCTTCTCCCGTTGCGGAGCACAGGCTCCGGACGCACAGGCTCAGCGGCCATGGCTCACGGGCCCAGCCGCTCCGCGGCATGTGGGATCCTCTCAGACCGGGGCACGAACCCGTGTCCCCTGCATCGGCAGGCGGACTCTCAACCACTGCGCCACCAGGGAAGCCCATTTCTTTGTAACTCTTCACACAGGGCTCCCTAAAAACGTTGTTTCAATGTGTATTCCAACTTTCCAAGAGGGACAGCCCATGGGTAGGAGTTGGACGTGTTTCTTTTCTACCCACGCCCCACGCCCAAGCAGATCCAAAGTCCAGTATTCTTACCAAGGTTGTAGAGCCAACTCCTAGAACTCTGGAGAAAGCTTTCATTTAAACACCATGTTTTTATAATAATTAAACAACTACAAAGGTGTGAACAGTAAAGTGGGTTTATTTAAAAAGAAGACTACAAAATTTGACACAGAGAGATATAAAAGACTCAGGATTTAAAATTATTAAATACAAAAATGATTGGCTATAAACAATGTAAAAATACATTTCCCGGTCCCCAAACAGAAGTATAGCAATTATAAAATTTTTGTACTGTATATGCATTTCCCTTATCATTTTTAAGAACCATTCTAAACAGTCTATTTGTGTAAATATAAATTTACCATAAACGTTAATAAAAAATTATTTTACATTTGAGTTTACTGAGTGTGCCCTTTTCTGTAAGTAACAGTATCTTTGGTTTCAAGTTCACCTTGAAATTTTTATTTACCACAAAGATCTTTTTACTCCTAACTCCTTCTACAATAGAAGACGTAGGCTAATCAATCATGGGTCCTGTAAAAAACAATGTGAAGAAAGGTTCTAGAGTGACCCAAAATACCAGTGAAGATATTACCTTTCAGTGGCCAGCTAAGAGGTCCATTCTGCGCCAATGAAACAAATGGAAGTGAAACCTCAGAACAAGCAGAGCTTAAGTTCCACGCCAACATGCTGTGGATGTGAGGCCAGCAGAGGACATTCCGTCAAACTCAGCTGAGCCCAGTGCATGACTGGGGACGCTGAGGAAGCCCAGATGGTCTGCTCTGAATCCCAGCTGGGTGCAGATGATACTTAAAAGGACAACGGTATAGCTGGATGTGAAATCTGAGAACCTGCCTACCACAAGCTGCTTGTCATCTTTGAACCCAAGACCCAGGCTATTTCTCCTCTCTCAGACAGCACACCTAGTAAAAACAGCATCCAAGACTGGTTTCATTATCTCCCAAGCAGGTGCTGGTGACACCACCACTAGCACTAGCATCCAAGCTCTGATACAAATGGATAAGGTTCTAAGTCAGTAAGAGCAGAAGCTGTGTCCGGCCATCTGCGTCTGAAAACCATCTACAACACACAATTGGCAGATGAGAAATTTAAAAAGGATGAGGTCATTAAACTGTCTCACTGGAAACACGATTCCACTCTTTCAGACAGAAAACCTACTAGCCCAGGAGACTTTCACCAAAGTACTGAAGGATCTGATGCATGGGCTCATTGCCTGAGCCCTACAGTCTTGAGTCAAAAAAATCTACCAGGAGGACAAGAAAGGTCTAGTCTGTGAACCACTTGGTCAGAAAGGTCCCTTTTTTTTAAAAAAAAAAAAAGGACCCACTTTAAGAAAGGTCTTGCTCAAAGTGCCCTGGCTGGCTGGCTCTAAGACAGACTGCCAGCAACAGACAGTTCTTCCAAATTATCAGAACTGGGTATGAAGTGTCTTCTGAGAATGGTTTGACTACTCCCTTACACCATCAACAGTATTAAACTGGGCAGGAATCTCTGGATATTCACTTTCTTAAGAAGGTCTCCTGGGTTTCCCTGGTGGCACAGTGGTTGAGAGTCCGCCTGCCGGTGCAGGGGACACGGGTTCGTGCCCCGGTCTGGGAGGATCCCACATGCCACGGAGTGGCTGGGCCCATGAGCCATGGCTGCTGAGCCTGTGCGTCCAGAGCCTGTGCTCTGCAGCGGGAGAGGCCACAACAGTGAGAGGCCCGCGTACCACAAAAATAAAAAGAAAAAGAAGGTCTCCTTTGAAGAGAAACCAGAGCAATGCCTATGTGGGAACAAGAACCCTAAAGATCCTGCTCTATACTCTATGCAATTAAAAGGGCCCAAGATTCTGGAGAATCTGTCATCAAGGAAGCCAGGAGCCAGAGGCCCAGCTATGCCTGATGAAGTAGTACATGGACCATTCTTATAAGGAGACAGAAGAGGGAGGCTCTCAAATCAAAAATCAAAGATTGGGGTTTTAAAAGAAGATTGGCTCCAAAGAAAACACTGAACAGAACCTGCAGAGCTGTATTAACTTCAGTAGAAATAATCATATGGCAAAAGGGAGCAAACCATTTTCTGTCTTCTAGTATGAACTCATCTCTTCAGGCATCTGGAAGTGCTTGAGGCCTACTTTTATAACTACTTTCACTGCATTGTGCAAAAGTGTATCTTATCTTTCTTTGGTCCTTAGTCATGATAGCAGTTTCTTCCATTTTTCTATCTTTCTATATAAAGATCTTTTTTTTACATGATATTGACAAGCAAAGTACAGTATAAACATGGGGTTACTGATGCTGTTGCTTTTGTAATATGTAAAATATCAACATCTCCCATACATTTTCTATTAGGCTATAAAAGGTCTCAGAAGGAGAGTCAATTATTATTATCCTAAAATGTTACAGTATAATTTTAAGTCTGAGTGAGATACAGTAAAGCCTGGGTTTTACATTTTATGGAAAAAAACCTAGACCAACATTTAAAATATTGATCTCTTAAATATACATTAAATTTTATCTAGTCATCAAAAAGCAGAGTTATAGTTAAGCAAATTAATTTAAAAATGAAACCATTTCTAAATGGATAAACTTAATCATGCTGCTTGAAAGCATAATTTGAAAGCTAAGCCTAGTAACAATGACAGAATAATTTATCATCAGTTGAGCTATGTGATTTAAACAAGCAATTGCCCTCACCTCCAAACAAAACAAAACTTCATCTGACAGAAGTTTCAACTGTTACCAAAAAATATATATATATATTTTAAAACAAAAAGCCCTCTGGCCCAATTTGTGGTGACTGACACACAGTCCAATCAATACTGATCAAACTGCCTTTCTGCCTTGCGCTCCAGAAGAAGTGGTTTAATAATGACAGACTCTACAAGAGCTTCTGCCAGGGCTCAGGCACCACGCAGTGGCGACGTAACACCTGTTCCCTAGAGTCCCTAAGCATTAAGTGGTTCACTAACAGTAGCCTCAGGTTTTCTTGGCCGGGGCTCCTTACGTTTTTCATAGACCATAAGGAAAAAGTCAGACAGGAACACAAGACTTGCTAGAAATCCAAACACCTGAGGAGGGAAAAGGGGCAAAGATTATATGAGGAATGCTGCAATATACTCTCACATTTCCTACTTGGCTCTGATCGTGTTTTATACAAGCAAGACAATTCATCAATTTATCTTATACACATCATTCTTAACATCAGTGGTTAAAAATCTTTTAAGATCAAAAAATGGAAAGAAGTTACAAAAAAAGAATTCCAGAATAATGGCCATTAGTCAAGGTCACAATATATTAATGTCCTGTCTTGTGTGTGTGTGTATGTGTGAGGTGCCAATCTATGAAGCTAAGGTTAATAGATGAAAAACAAAATCCTATAACATGATACAAAACACTGGATTGTTAGCAATGGTTTAGACTGACAGATGAGAAGAGCAGGCAGCCACGCCTAGGTAAAAATGGAAAAGGTTATTTGTATCAAAACAGAAATTCTATTTTGAAGATACTTTTAGGTTAAATGGTTCAATTACCTAAAAAATATTTTCCAGCTCACTGTCACACTGTAATGACACAGCAACATGACGCCACTACCTACTACCTCTTCCTTAAATCACTTCCTCATTATACTCTTCTAACATCTACTCAAACATTCTGAGAATTCTGTCAAGAGACAGAAGCCCATGGTGCAAATTTAGCTTCTTCACTAGAAAAACCCTTAAGGAAGGGGGGCCAAAGTGCTCTGTAAAAAGAGAAAATCGATGTAGGTTATGGCTAAAGTCCCAATTCTAAGGCTCCATCTCCATGAAGTTTAACATTTTGTTGTCGTTTGCTGCAGTCTCTTGCCCTTCACACCCCATCCCTCCATTCTGCCTCATTTCACTGTAAAGCAAACGGAGCTCCCTATTCATTAATTCACCTGGATGTCCCCAACACATCCAACCAAAATGTAATTATCAATTCCACCCCCTGAAACCCAAGTCCCTTCTCCACTCTGGAGTCTGTATTTTGGCTTGATGGCATCTGTCCCCTTATTTGACTGGCAAATTTGACACTTTAAAGGCAGATCAGATGTCATCTTGTCTACGAAGACATCTCTGACCACCTTATTAGAAAGCTCTGGTCCATACAGGACCCTCTATGCATATAACCCAAATGATCTTCTAGCTCTTCTGCTCACATCACAATTTTTTAAAAAATGGACTCCCTCACCCATTTCAGTCTACATAATTTTCATAATTTAAATAGTTGCAAAAGGTAATTTCCAGCATTTTATAAATACTGAGCTTTTAAAACACCAGTCACTCTTAAATATATCTAATGAAATCTGAATACTGTAACATTCTGACATACCACCTAATTAAAACAATAAATAAGCTTTTTTTTAATAGCCGGTAATTTTAGGACATGCTTTCTTTCCCCCCACGAACTCAACATTTCCTCAACTTTATTTTACTTCCTCCACAGGATTTTACAATAATACATTTTTATACTAGAAAGTATTTTACTGATTCACCCTATCATACTCTTCTGCAACAAAAATATGATTACAAACAAATTAAGCATAAGGCTTTTCTTCTCTTCAACTGGTTCATGTATCCATGACTAAATATTACTTATTGCTAGAATGCATCAAGGTTTGGCATTAATTTTATTGTTTTGTTTTTATACGTGTAAGTACTAAGAAACTGTGTTCACATAAATAGGTAGATATGTTATAGCCGTCTAATTCTCTGAACTCCTTTTGAGTTGTTCTATCATAAAAAGCAGTTTTAATGATCTATTAGCTGACAGTTCAATTAATTACAACTTCAATTTTCTTATGAACAAAGCATTAATTGGAAATCAGCTGACTAGTAAGAGGACTTGTTAACCAGTTGTTAGTTGTTCATGTTCACAGCACTGGCATCAATTAAGTCCATGATCCTTGATTTGCAATTCTGAAGTCCAAAAAGCAACAAAAACTCGAAGTTTCATGATTTACTTGGCTGAAAATTGACACAAGGTAAAACTCTTTACAGTCTTTACCTATCTCTTTAACTGTGAATATTCAGATGCTTCAGAAAAATTAATATGTTGGATTACAAGGTGCTGCCCAGGCCCTCTGAAGGTGTGTAATACAGTATATGCACAGTATTACCTTTCAAGTGCAGAATATTCTGAATTCTAAAAAACATTTGGTCCCTCAAGGATTTCAGATAAAAACATTTACTTATCTATCTCTTATACTAGGCTGAACTTTGGGGTCATTTCTCCTGTCTATTCTCTACACCTAAAACAGCATGTGGTATGTAGGTGTGTTTCTGTTGAACCAAAAAGGGGAGAAATATAAGATAATCAAGTCAATTTTACCACTTCCATTAGCAATAAAGTTCATATGTGACTTCAATGGATTTTTGTTAACAAAACTCAGTCAAATTCTAAAGACAGGTTCTAGGTTTTTAAGGCTATCATATTTATTTGCTTTTAGGCCTCTAATCAAATTACACTAAAAAATAAGTTAAAAGACAAACCACTCTCCCTTATTGTATAACCTGTCAAGTACTTTCCAAATTCCATATTTCTAAGCAAATAAAAATAAGCAAAGATAAAAGGTACTTACAATTGCAGCAAGTTCAGCCGGGGTACTGTCATGTGTCAAAGCGAAAAAGATGGATGCCACCAAAAACACCAATCCTGTTCCCACAGTAATATAAAAATCCTATACATACACATAAAACATAAGGAATACAGCATGGTTAGGGTGGCTGAAAACAAATGTTTTAATTTTTAACTTTTAAAAAACTTCAGTGACTTTTTTTCTTGACTCAAACTTACATACTTCAACTTCTAACTTTTCAATAAGCCTGGTATTTGATAAATACCCTGTAAAGGAACAGTATGCACACTCTGGACAGGGCATATTCAGAGAGTACATCACAAGATGATGTTTTAATAAAAATAGTTCTCCATTATTACTTATTTGTGGAATCTAAAAAGTAAACAAATGAGTAACAAAGACCCCCAGACACAGAGAATAAACTAGTGGTGCCCAGTGGGGAAAGGGAAAGGGGAGGGGCAAGATAGGGGAAGGGGATTAAGAAGTACCAACTATCATGTATAAAATAAATAAGCAAGAAGGATATATTGTACAGCACAGGAAAATCTAGCCGTTATTTGGTAACGAACTTTAAATGGAGTATAATCTATAAAAATATTGAATTGCTACATTGTTCACCTGAAACTAATATAATATTGTAAAATCAATTATATTCTATTACAAATAAATATGAAATAAAATAAAAACAGTTCCCCAAAGGTCATGCATGTGTGTGCTTATCTTTTTCTCTAGGATGTATTAATTTTTAAAAAATACTCATTTATTTATTTAGCTGCACTGGGTCTTAGTTGCAGCACGTGGGAACTTCGTTGCTGCGTGCAGGATCTTTAGTTGCGGCATGTGGGATCTAGTTCCCTGACCAGGGATCGAACCCAGGTCCCCTGCATTGGGAACACGGAGTCTTAGCCACTGGACCACCAGGGAAGTCCCCTTTCTGTGACATATTAAGATCAAAGCCAAAGGATTTATTAAATCCCACATTACTTCCAGCAAAGAACAGCATTTTTCTTCCCTTTCAACATAATCCATGCTAGGATGGCCTCTCTGAGAGTACTTCAGTGCTTTTAAAGCACTTTGGAAAAGAGAGACTCAAAAGGATCACCCATCATTAACTAAAGACACTTAGGCTTTCTTGGAATAGCATGTTGTTTTCAACTGTGCCAAGTGGGTAATCCAACATGAGCTTGTATGATGAGATTATCTACTACATAAAAGCATCCACATCTCATCATAGTGCAGCTTACAGCAATGGAATTCTTCATCGTTTCCAAGTGTTCTCTCAGGAATCAACTCATGAGGCTCGCTCTCAAATGCCAAGTGAAAACAGAGCTTGACATACATACTTGATTCAGAGGAGAAACTGGAAAAATGATAGCCACTCCAAAGTGTTTCAAGTCTGATACTTTTTGAGTTTTCTTAAATGCAATCTCCACTAAACCTACTATCAGTAAAACTACCCAAAACAGAATTAACTATTTTGTTAGTTCACTTAACACTTATAAGAAATTTCAGAGATTTCCTCTTTGCTTCTAAAAGAGGTGTTTTTCTGCAGCACTTTCTCTTTTTTTCTATTCCTTTGAAATGAATATTATTTAAATCTCTTACATACAAATATAAAACTCTATTTACTAATATTTGGAGTACACTCAAGGAGGTATTAAAACAAGACAATCATTTTGAGACAGAACAATGCAGTATTCAACAAACATGGGTTCTAGAGCGAGACTACCTGAGTTCACATTCCAGTAATATTACTTCTTGGCTACATGATTGAATTAGTTACCTAATGTCTGTGTGCCTTTGTTTCTTCATCTGCAAAATGAGAGTAGTAACAATATCGTATTCATAGGTGATTCTATAGAGTTAATCCATGGAAAGTGCTCAGATCAGTGCCAGAAACACAATAAATGTTCCATAAACATTGGCTATTGTTATTCTTGATACAATGGGACCCGCAAGAGCATGGGATAGAAAAGATTCTCTTTCCAAAAAGATTACTGTTCCTCCCTAGACACTACCACCACCACACACTCAAAACATTTTCTCTAAAACAGAAAACTCCTTACATAAAGATTTTTTTAATTTAAGTATATTAATAAGCAGACAGTAAAAGTAATTTTTAAACCATTCAAACAAACATGACTTCCTTACGATGTTAGGTGAAAAGTAGAACATACATACTCTACAATTACAACTATGTTTAAAACTTTCTATAAGACCCAAAAGGCATACAGTAAAATATTTACAAAAGCTATTTTAGGATGAAATGACTAATTTTTCTTTTTTTCCTCAGTATTTTTTTGTTTTTGTTTTTTTTGCAGTACGTGGGCCTCTCACTGTTGTGGCCTCTCGCGTTGCGGAGCACAGGCTCCAGACAAGCAGGCTCAGCGGCCATGGCTCATGGGCCAAGCCGCTCAGTGGCATGTGGGATCTTCCCAGACTGGGGCACGAACCCGTGTCCCCTGCATCAGCAGGCGGACTCTCAACCACTGTGCCACCAGGGAAGCCCTCCTCAGTATTTTAAAATTAGTATTTACTCTAAAATAACCTTTTAAATGCTCAAGTTTGATGTAATAAGTGCTTTACATTTTGCTTAGTTTGACCATTATACTAAACTGGAAAATATTGTTTCTTGTCAAAAAGATCAATGTTCTTAAACACTACAGATGCAGCACTAAAAAACTATAAACATTTCTAAAAATATTTTTATGGATGGAAAGTAGTGCTATTTGCTGTTGAGATAAGAAATGAAAAAAATATTTTCAATCTTTAATGTTTAAAATATAAATTTACACATTCAAGCTACAAATCAACCAGCTCAGATGCTAGTGAATTTTTCCCTTGTCCAAATCTTATCACATACTAATCTGTAAAAAGGACTTTTCAAAGATTAAAAATATAATTAACAAAAATTCTAAGATATTCTCTGCATCCTCTTCTTAATACGTATTTCATAAAACAAATGGGTTCTGTTGTCATTGCTATACAAAGACTCTTGTGGTGACGATATTTGCCACGATAGCATCTAAAGTTACTAGGGCAGTGGTTCTAGCAGCATTCTGCCTAGGCCACATGATAGACTGCGGAGTGTGAGAACTTTCCTGGGTTCAAATCTGTTTATTTTCACTCTCACTGGGTAACTTTGGACAAGTTACTTAACCACTCTCAACCTAAGTTTCTTCAACAGAAAAATGGAGCATTGAGGTGTGAAGATTCTAAATCACAGCACATAAAGCGCCTGGCACACAGTAAACACTGACAGCAGCTATTATTGGGTAAGATAACGGGAACTGTCATATATTGGCCATACCAAGAACTGCACGTATGTGTTCACCAAAGGCTTAATGGATTTGATTCAGACTCTACCTGTTTTTTAAAGTTATTTTTTTAGCTGTTTGGTATCAACTTTTTGTTTTTTAATTTTTCAAACTTAAAAGAATCATTATATATATATGTATTTTTTATTAAAGTACAGTTGATTTACAATATTGTGTTAGCTTCAGGTGTACAGCAAAGTGATTCAGTTATATTTTTTCAGATTATATTCATTATAGGTTATTACAAGATATTGAATATTGTTCCCTGTGCTACACAGTAATTCCTTTTTGCTTATCTATTTTATGTATAGTAGTTTGTATCTGTTAATCCCACACCCCTAATTTGTCCCCTCCTCCCTTCCCTCTCCACTTTGGTAACCATAAGTTTGTTTTCTATGTCTGTTAAGTCTGTTTCTGTTTTGTATACAGATTCTTTTGTATTATTTTTAAGATTCCACATATAAGTGATATCATATAGTATTTGTCTTTCTGTGACTTACTTCACTAAGTTTAATATTCTCTAGGTCCAGTAACTAACATATTACTGCAAATGGCAATATTTCATGCTTAAAGAATTAAAAGAAGAGAATAGGAGCTCCAGTCAAGACAGCAGAGTAGAAGGATGTGGAACTCACATCCTCCCACAAATACACCAAAAATATCCCTACAAATGGAACAGTTCCCATAGAACACCTACTGAACACCAGCAGAAGACCTCAAACACCTGAAAGGACAGGAAAAATCTCCATGTGACCAGGTAGGACGAAAGGGAAAAAAAAAAAAAGGGAAAGCAGGACGGGATCTGCGGCCATGGGAGGGAGCTGGAAAAAGGAAAGGTTCCCACACCGTGGGATGCCCCCTCACTGGCAGGGAGATCAACCAGGACACAAAGGGAGCTTCAGAGGCACAGAGGAGAGTGCAACAACCGGTCTGTGGCAGGCAGAACTAAGAGAGACCTGCACAGACAGCCGTGCCACCGCCCTGCGCATCCCAGCCTGAGACGCACATCTGCTGGAAGGGGCTGGGTACTGAAACTCAGGGTTTAGAGGACAGAACAGGGAGAGGGCTGCTGTTGGCTGTGTGGAAACAGCCTGAAGGGGCTGGAATGTGGTGTGGTTGCAACTGGGGATGTTTGCGGAAGAAGCCCAGGCCCGTCACAGAAGTGAAGCGCCATCGTTAAGTGGCGTATGAGGACGCAATGGAGGCCGCCATAGCAGCCTCTTTCTCACGTGCCAGCCCCCACCTCGGCAGGCTCCAGGCGAGCGCACCCCAGCCACCGCCTTGGGGGCTCCTGCCTTGACAGGCTCCGGCGAACCAGCCGCTGCCTCGGCGGGCTCCAGGAGCAAACGCCAGTGGGTTGCCCACACACAGAGGCAGAGCTGAAACCACAGCTGGACCCCAGCGGCCACGCGACTTAGGAGGTAGGGCTGAAATCTCTCCCTGCAGCTGTGCAAGCCGCAGACTTACACCTCCATTGCCAGCCGTGTAAGTTCAGCACCTGCAGGACATCCGAGGGACAACGGGCCCTCCCATGGCTTGGACAGATCTGGCCTTAGCAGCTGTGGGCTTTGTGGGCACATGCATATGGGGACTGGGCTGGGCCAGGGTCTGAGCTGCCTCCATAGCCCCCACAGCGGGTCCGGGTGCACAACTACTATAGTCCTGGAACCTGACTTCAGTGGATCTGCGTTGGTGGCCTTGTGAAAACAAGGCCAGAGGGACACCAGGGCTGACTGATGGCATTCCCAAGGTTGAGACAGGAGCAAGGGCAGTGCCAGCAGCAGT